TTTTTTTGTTTTTCATTTTGTTTCTTTCGCTTTGTTCTGTTGTTGTTTCTTTTTTCTTTCTGTTTCTCGGTTCTCTTCACCGCTGTGGAAGTTGTGTGTTTTGTTCTCTTCGTTCTTTCGCCCCCGCCTCTCTCCCCCTCTCCCCCCGCCATGTTTGTTCTGGTTTCTTGATTGTCTGGCCCGCGTGCTCCCCCCGTTGCCGCGGGCGGAGTGTTGCCACCGCCGCCGCCGCCGCTGCCGGCTTTCTCTCTCACTCTCTCTGCTGCTCCCGCCGACTGTTTTCTTTTTGTTTTTGCTCAAATGAGAGGGGCGGCGGGCGGCAGCCCACGCCGCAGCAACACACACACACGGACACGCAGGAGGAGGGGAAAGAAAAAGAAGAGGGGGAGAGACGCGCGCTCCAGACTAATGGATGTATACAAGGTGGAGAAAGAGATAAACAATGGATGGGATTGGGCGAGTCCAATGTCAATAGGCGTGACGCTTGTCGCGGCATTCAGTGCGCGCGTGTGTGGGGTGTGTGTGTTTCTATGTGTCAGCGTGTGTGCCTTCGTGTCAAGTGTCCTTCTTACAGCTGCCCAGGCGGCTTTCTCTCTTTCTTTTTCTTTCTTTCTGCTTCGCTCTCTCTCNCCCCCCCCCCCTGCCAGACCAGTATGCCCTGCTAGAGCGAAAGGAGAGTGTGCAGACGCTGTGCACCCCGAGAGCTGTGCCCTCCCCACGAGGAGGAGGAGGAGGAGGAGGAGGGAATGGTAGGAACACGCAATGCGGCAGCGCGCTCCAGTGCGGGAGAGCGAGTGACGCAGCCGCGTCCCCACCTCGGCGTTGTGCGGGGTGCGTGGCGGTGTTGTGCAGAGATGCCGCACGTTGGCCCTGTCCATACTGTGGCTGGTCCTGTTGTTGTTCTTGCTGCCGGTGCCGCGGTGGTGGTGGTGGTGGTGGTGGGCGCTGCGTCTCCCTCCCTGCGTGCATCAACAGACATGCCTTCGTTTTCTTTTTCTTGTCTTGCTCCGGTAAAATGATGACTCCCATGCACACTTTCTCTCATGTGCGCCGTCGGCTTCCCCTTCACCCCCCCCCCTCTTCTTCCTGCTGTTTTGCTGCTGCTGCTGCTGCCACAGCGTGTGTGCAAGGCTGAGGTGAGCGGATGGCGCTGCCGGACCTCAAGTTCCTCGTGCTACTGGGCGGCCTCCCCGGCGAGGGCCTGTGGAGCACGGCCGCGAGTTACGCCGCCCTCGTCGCGCAGATCAAGGACGCATTTGGCGACGACTACAACCCGATCTTCAAGTACAAGCTCCCGTGCAACCCGAAGATGATCAGCCCCCCGAATGGGACGTGCTACATCGTCATCGACGACGAGGACGACTTCGAGGTGTGGAAGAACGGCTGCGACCCCGTACCGCACTACCGTGACGCCCTCGACGATCTGCACCACCCGCCCAACCCGCTCACCGCAAAGCTGTACGTGTACCGCAAGGGCACGCCGGCCTCGTCTGCCCCCGCGCTGCGGGGGTCGGGCGCCAGCAGCAACCCAACGCCAGCACTGAAGGGGGAGACGAGTCCAGCGGTGCTGCACGCGGAGGAGGACGTTGTGAAGATGCCGCTCTACTCCCTACTCCCACCGCTGCTGCTGCTGAAACTCGGCGTGCGTGTGACGCTGCGGCACAGCAATGCCGCGGAGGCTATTCTGCTCAGCAGCCGCGGCGTGTCCGGCGCGGGCGAGGGCCACTGGGGCCTGCTGGTGCGCAAGGCCCAGTCCGCGTGGGGGGTTCAGCGCCCCTCCTTCCGCTACCTGGACCTCGACAGTGGCGTGACGGCGATGGACGTTTTCAACGCGCGCGATTACATGTTCTGGAGTCGTGGGGTGGGGCGCGAGAGGACGGAGCTAGTGGTGCTGGAGCATGTCCACCGTGGCGACGCCTGCTCACGTCAGACTGCAGATTTGTTGATTGCGGAAAGCGAGCGCATCCGCGCGGCGGAAAGGGCTCGCCTCGTCAACGCTCCCGTTTGCCGTACGGCTCCGAACAGCGGCGGCACCCTTGGGGATGGGCGTGAGTACACCGTCACTGTGGCGGCGACCGTGCGTGGGGTGGACAACGGACTGTTTGGCCCGTCCTTCACCTCCGATGCGTTGATCCCGCCGAAGCGCTCCGCAGTAGACGAGGCGGTGGAGTGCTCGCTGGAGCATCATCGGAAGCTTGTCACTACGCTCGCGCGCAGTGGAATCTTCTAACGGCGTGCGGTGGGTGCTTGGAAGGCATCTGCGGCGCCAGGCAATGTACAGTGCTCGTAGGGGTTCGCCTTGACAAGCTGAGTTCCTATTGTGTGTGTATGTCTTTCTTTTCCCGCTTCATGACTGCATGCAGATGCTGCCGTTTTCTACCACAGCAGTGAGGTGGGGATTGTCCCGCGCGTCTGTGCTTGTCTTGATATATATATATATATATATATATGTGTGTGTGTGTGTGTGTGTAGGGGACGTGCCCGTCCGCTTCGTATTTGTTGCGGCTCGATAAGTCCTCTCTCAGAACTGGTGTCTCTTCCGTGTGGCCCACTTGTCCGATGCTTTTGGTCCTTCTATGAGTAGTTGTTGTTGGGGGGCGAAGGAAAGGAAGCGGGGTCTTCATGGCACTGCCGAGTGAGCGCTCTTGCATGCATAACGACAACAACAACAGCAGTGCTAGTGGCGGCAGCAGCAACGCCTTTGCACTGAAGGTGGCGGGGTGGCTTCTGCCTGACGTGCGGCGGCACCTCTTTCTGCTTGCTTGGGTCTGCGGTGTGCCGCTCCACGTGCGGTACGTTGTGCACCTTCTCCGCATGACCGCCGTGCCGCTGGAAATGTTCATGGCGGAGGACGCAGCCGAAGAGTGGGAGGCACCGCTCACCACAACAACAGCAGCAGTGGCAATGAGCGACAGTGCACTCCGTTCTGCGGCGCTGGACATTCTCTTTACGCAGGTGGCGAGCGACTGCTGTGCAGCCAACGCGCACGTGGGGGCGGCGCGGCTGTCAACAGAGCCGTGGGCGGAAGTGCGCAGCTTGGCGTACGGCGCTGCTGAGGAGCACGCCGCCACGCAGATTGTTGCACGGGATGCCACCGTAAGGGGCGAGGTGCTGGCGCTCGTGCCGGCCCATGACGTGGCCTTGGCAGAGTTGGAGGTGATGTACTTTACCGCGCTCGATCAGGCACGACGGTTCGAGCAGCAGCACCCCTGCGGCGACGCTCGCCACCACACGCCGTCTGACGGGAACACCAGGGCGCCTGCTGGACAACAGCATCAACGGCGTCTTGGCTCCCCGGTGAACAAGGATGCTAGGGTAGATGTCGTTGTGGTCGGCAGCGATGACGAGGGGGAGGGTTCCCCGGAGAGAGAAGTCGTGATACTATCGGACAGCAGCAGCGGGGACGGCGAAAGCCAAGCGAGGCGGCGACGGAAATCTGCGGGGGCCGTCTACGAAGTGGTGGAGTGAGTGATGGCGTGTGGTGCCAAGTGGCCCCGCTGCTTTTCAAGTTTTCGGTGTGGGTGAGGTCATGGGTTCACGCGTGTCCACCGGCTACGCCACCATCCCATCATCTATTATCTGTTTGTTTCTCTTTCCTTCTATTCAGTGTTCTGTGTTTTGTCTGATCGTCCCGTTGCAGCTCTCATGGCACTGCGTGACATCATGGGTGCTATTGGGGGGCTGTGTGACAGCGCCAGCAGGTCTCGGGGCGTCGGCAACGCCATCTCCACCGCCCAGCAGCTGATAGGGAGGCTGGACCGCAGCAGCGGTGGCGACCGCGGTACGGCAGCAGCTCGCGACGCCGGCGCCCCCGGGCCGGTGTACCCCGAGAACACGGTGTTCCTCAATGTGTACGACATCACGGAGGCCAACAACGTGCTCTACCACGCGGGCCTGGGCGTCCACCACACCGGCGTGGAGGTGTACGGTATGGAAATCGCATTTGGACGCTGCGAGGAGGGACCGGGTGTGTTCCAAACGATGCCAAAACAAACAGAGCCGCACATCTTCCGTGAGCAGCTGGTCCTCGGTGAGACGCAACTAACACGCGAGCAGGTGTGCAGTTTGGTAGAGGAGTTCAGAGCCAATACCACTCAGTGGTCTGGGCGCGCCTACCATCTGATTCGGAACAACTGTAACTGCTTTTCCGAGGCCTTTGCGAAGCGGCTGCTTCCCCCCGATCTGCGGAAGCAGCAGCAGGAGCAGAAACTGGTGGAGGTGTACGATGGCGGCGAGCGCGAGGAGGTGCAGCTGGAGAATGGCGAGAAGGTGTCGCTGCCGGTTATTATGCCGAGCTGGGTCAACAACCTGGCGCGCAGTGCCACACGCTTTCTCCCCAACGGGGCGGTGGATAAGATGGAGGAGATGGATATGGCGTCGCAGAGGTCGCGGAATGCCGCGTAATGTGTTTGGCTCTGTCCATTGCGTGGCCCTCCGTCGTTCAATGGGTCCATGGGCAATAGGGCAATCGGGGGGCGGGGGTTCTTTATTTAACTTGCTATGATTTGTCGCACCTCCTCCAGATGCGCAGAATGGAGAAGGCTCGCCAATTTTTTTTTCCTTGGAAAGCAACTGAAGAAAGAGCACGTGTTCAAAAGGATGGCACTGCCAAACCACCAGAGTGCCGGGATCCCGTGTTAATGAGTTTTGCTTCGAATGCCACTGGGGATTCCCCGGGGCTGTGAGAGTGCTTCTCTCCCTCACCCCCCCACAAAACCAAAAAAAAAAGGATTTTTTTTTTTGCNGTGCTTCTCCCCCCCCCCCCCCCACAAAACCAAAAAAAAAAGGATTTTTTTTTTTGCTGCTACGCGACCGCAGCCAGCAACAGCTAGCCGTGCGGCTGGTGCCCTGAGCGTTCGTCCTCGACGGCATTGCTCAGCATGCGGCATGTCTTCTCGAACTCCACGTGGCGCCTCCGTGCGATGCGGGGGTGGGGGAGGGGGAAGGGGGGAAGTGGCACACGCAAAAGATGGGCTGACGAAGTAAACACGCTGTGCATGCGCATATGCATGCGTGTTGTTTGGTGTTTGACACTCGACGTGTTTTCCTCTTCTTTTGTGTTCTCGTTTCTGCTGTGCAGGTGATGTAGCGCAGCAATGCGCAGCGGTGCCTTCACCTCTTCGGCCGCCGCCGCCGCCGCCGCCACCACCACAGATGATGGTGAGGGGGACCGCTTGGCGTGGATCAGCACATCCCTCTCGCGCAAACTAAATGAATAGCACAGCACGCATTCCTATTGCGCTGTCTCTGCGCGGCGGCCTCATACGTTGTGCGTTCGCTCGGAATTGTTTTTGGTTGTTGTTGTTTGCCGTGCAGCTAGAACTCTACCAGCACGCACAGAGGGGCCCTGGCTGCGGGCGGACATCGGCCGGCGCTGCATGAAAAAGATGCGCGTGTGTCTGTTGGACGGCATGAACCCACAGTGCACAACACGCTGCATATTCGGCGTGCTGTGTTGTCGCACGTCGTCAGTCCACGATTGATGCACAGGATTGTTCCACTGCGGGAGGCCGAGTGCGTGGGGGGGATCGGCAGCGCCATGTCTAGGAAAGAGCGGCTGGTCTGCGTCCGTGCTGTCAGCAGCGCTTCAAGATGGGCTCATGTTGAGGGGCGGGTGGTGGCCACGAGGTTGACGAGGCAGTGTAACGGATAATATGAGGGTCAGCGAGCTGGCAATGTTGCGTATCCCCCAATGCAAGCATATTTCCACGCTCTTCGACTCAATCCCTTTCTCTCCCTCCCTCCCTCTCTCTCTCTCTCTACCCGCGAGTGGACGCATAGGGTTGAGCCTTCTGGGTTCTTGGAGGCGATATCCATCCACCTACGAATAGCCCATCAGGGGTGTATGCGTGCACTTGCGATTTTTATGCAACTCCTTCGTGACGGTGCCGCTGTGGCGCAGATATTAATGGCTAAAAACAAAAGAAAAAAAAACACATCAACTGTGTATCATCACAAGCGCACAACTCTTGTGCACTCTCTGTAATGTGCATAACGGATGATGTGTTTCTATTCCGCTTCTTTTCTCTCTAGGTGCGTCTCCTGGCTCAGACAGGCCTCCTTAGCTTTGGTCCGGCAAGAGAAGAATGCCACCGAAGCGGGGCAAAGGGAAGGACGGTGCGGAGGATAGCAACGTGCCACCTGGGATTCTCGAGGTGCGGGTAACAAGCGGATGCTCTGTCAACATGCCTGCGCGTGTCCGCATGGGCCACGCGTCGTACATTCACCCCAAAAGTGGGAAGCTGTACGTTGTGGGCGGCTGCGATGTGACGATGCTGCCGCAGCCCTTCCAGTCGCAGATCCCCATGGATCCTCTGGAGCCGATGCCCTTCGCGGAGTGGTGGGACGCAGAGACACGCGTGTGGGGCACGAACGTTGACTCGATGACGCAGCCCGTGGAGACGCCGATGGGAAACATGTGCGCTGACGCCGACGCTGACGCCGATGCCGACGCTGACGCCGATGCCGACGCCGACGCCGACACGAAAGTGGGTGCGGGGGACGAGGACGCCGCGCCGCGAGAGAGCGGAACCGCGTCGCCATACAGGCAGGCTGCCGACCAGCGACCAACGCAGGTGCCCGATGGCTTTTCGTGGCCGACGCTGGCTGCTCCTGTTGTGCAGTGGGACCCGGTGCGGGCGAAGGAGCGCGGGCCGCAGCACTCACTCGTCGCCATCAGCGGCGACGCAGCCAAACGCGCAGAGGAGGAAAAGGAGGCAGGTGACGCGCAGGCAGCGCCGGAGGCTGTGGTACCGCCACCGCGTGAACACCCGGTGGTGCTGCTGATTGGTGGCTGGCAAGGCAGTAGCCGCGTGGCACACCTCATGGGTGTTGACATGGACAACGGAACTGCGCTGCACGTGCGTGGCGGCGCAGCTTCGCAGGCACCGATGCTGACGTGTCCTTCCGCTACTGTGGTGCGGGACAAGGTGTACGTGTTCGGTGGTAACACCAGCAACGGCTGCGTGTCGACAATGGAAACGCTGGATCTCGCCACCTGCAAGTGGGTAGAGCGTGCAGCAGTAGCAGAGACGCCAACCGCGCACCCTCAGCCGCGCTCCTCTCACGTGGCGGGCTTGCTGCTGGACCGCTACATTGTAATTCACGGTGGTCGGCGCCTGGCGATGGAGCCAAAGATAGTCCCAAAGAAGGGCAAGAAGGTAGACCCAAAATTGCTTCAGACCATCACTAAACTTGCTCTTGAATTCTGCAATGATGTAGCGGTGTATGATGTGGATACTGGACGATGGGTGGCTACGGCCGTGAATGTGGGGATCCATGGACCGCCGCCGCGGTATGGGCATGCCGCTTGTGTCTTGAGCCCAAGCGAGATGATGCTGCATGGAGGTATCGGCGTCGGCGGCAAGGTGCTCTGCGATGCCTGGATTCTGCGCCTGCAGGAGAAGGGTGAGTCTGCTGTGTCGGTTTCGTGGGTAAAGTTGGTGCCGCACGAGACAGACATGGAGCTGGTGCCGGCCCGCTGCCACCACTCCCTGGTGGCTGCAGGGAGGCGTGTGTACGTCACCGGCGGCCTTGACGCATCGGACAGCGTGGAAGACCTCTGCATCATGGACGTGCAGCCACTCCTGGAAGCAAATACATCGCGACCGGATAATCGCAGGCGAACAGTGACGCCAAAAGACCCGAAGCGCTCAGCCGCGTAATCTCAACCCTCCTATGTGTGTGTGTGTCTGGCACCTTGATATGTAAAGTACTTGTGTATGCTGTTGTTGTTTGTTCTTGGAAGGGGGGGTGCAAGACGGGGGGCGGAGAAAAAAAAAAGAATGGGGATACACCACTATCGCACTGTCTGATGCGACATTGCTCACCATCATAAATGGTTGTTGTTACTGTTCTCTTGTAATGTATCGTCTTTCGGCGCGGTCTCCTGTTGCTCTTTCTTTTCCCGATGACATTTGGCAGGCATAAAGGAGAGGGTGCCGTGCCGCTCACGTCGGTTTGGGCAAAGTTTCCCGACTCACGGAGTTGCCTGCTGCTGAAGAGACAGAGAGAGAGAGAGAGAAATTAGGAGGAAGATGTCCACGGAGATGAAGTCGGAAATGCAGGAGGTGAACGGCGTCCTCCCGCCTGCTGGCGCACAGCCCCAAGGAACGGTGGAGCACGTCGGCGGCTCGTATCCGGGCTCGCAGGGCCGAGAGGACGCTGAAAGTGGGGCAGCGGCGGCCGCAACAACGACGACAACAGCAACCGCAGCAGAGATGGAAGCCACACAGAATGGCGTAAGCAGCGAGCAGAGGAAAGACGAGCAACAGACAGATACACTACAGGAGGACGTCATATCCACACCAATGCGGAACTCCGCCTCCGCAGGCAATGCGGTCTGCGTCTCCCCACGGAAGCAAACGAAGATCTCGTGGAAGTGCGGCATGTGCGGCTACCACGTGCTCGCCATGGACCACGAGGGCAAACCGCTGCCTCTCTCGGTATCGTCATTTGGCCAAGTGCTTCCAATGAGCTGTCCGCGCTGCCTACTGGAGCACACGAGCTGGGAGCAGGCGGTGCCCTTCGACGAGCACGGCGACCACGCAAACATCCGCTCAAAACTCTCCAATAATTACGTTCGCACGTCAAGTCACGTTGACACGGAGGCGAGGGTCTTTCAACCTGCGCCCACCTCTGCGGCCCCAGGCAGCCACGCGGACGGTGTCACGCTGCCGCCCATCCTGCAGGAGATTGGTCGCCGGACGTACAAGGAAGGTGTGGCACAGCCCATCGCGGTGGAAGCGCCACGGCCACGTGGGTCTCGCATGGCGTACTACTGCAGCAAGTGTGGCCGCAAGCTTCTGCGCATGGACCCATACGGTGAGCTTGTGCCTATGGTCCGCGACAATAGCGGGGTACCTCTGCCCATTGTGTGCCCCGGATGTAAAATAGAACACAATCAATGGGATGTGAAGCCCTTTACAATCACGCGGTAGTCTGCGCTTGTCTCTGTCGATGTGATTATGCTTGGGCAGTTTGGCACATTGCCTGGGCTTGAGTCTCCTCCTCATCTTTTGGGGGGCGCAGCAGCAAGAAAGGGGGTAGGATATAGGCCTGCATGTGTGGTCTCATCACGCTGTAATTTTATATATATATATATATANATTGGTCCTTTCGTCCTCTTTCCCTTCTTTCTCTCTATCTCTCTCTGTTTCACATGTGTTCCTGCTGCCAGTATAAGCCCCGGTTAAATGGATGACAAGGTGATTCTTGCATTCCTCCCTGGGGCCGCGCAAGGCATCACGACGGTCGTGCTGGGGCACCCGCTCGACACCGCCAAGACACGCATGCAGGCACTGGGGCCCGGGGCGAGCCGCTTCTTCCTGCGGACGTCGTGGAACATGGTCCGGGAGGAGGGTGTGCGGAGTTTGTACCGCGGCGTCACGCCGCCGCTAGTGATGTCGGCAACAAAACGCAGCCTACAGTTCGCTCTGTGGGACACCTTTCGCTACCACGACGCCCATAAAGAGCCGATGTTGGCCTCTTCATCCCATGGCAGCACTCTCCTCTCGCGGGCTTTCGGGTGGGTGGGCGCCTCGCCATTTCGCGCCGGGGCTTTCGCGGGCGGCGTAGGCACGTTTATTGGCTGCCCGATGCACGTCATAAAGATACGCACGCAGTTCTCGACGCAGCATGTGACGAAGAATGCCTGGACGTGTGCGCTGGACATCTTGCGCACCGAAGGTCCACGCGGCTACTTCCGTGGCTTCCGGTACCACCTCCTGAAGGACACACTCTTTGCTGGTTGCTATCTGGGCCTGTACGACGTGAGTAAGCGGTGGCTGGGCGAGTGGTGCGCGGCACCCGCGTCAGAGAAGTGGGGCACCCGCATTGCTGCTGTGGTGGGTGGATCACCCGAGCACCTCACAAGCCATTTAGCATTTCTGGCCGGGAGCATCTCGTCCATGGCGACGTGGACACTCCTCTACCCGTTTGACACCGTCAAGACGCTCGTGCAGGCCCGCGACATTGGCTTCCGGGAGGTGGTGAGCATCTTTAGGAACGAGACGGCGATGATGTATCGCGGGCTTGGAGCATCCCTCGTGAAGGCTGGCCCCGTGTGCGGCGTCGCGATGGTGGTGTACGAGCTGGTGAAGAGCAAGACAGAGGCGCTGTAGCAACAGTGTTGATGAGAGTCAGTGGTCCAGTGTAGTGCGTAAGGGGGTCTATGGAGTGCAGGAGGCGTGGTTGTTGCTGTGTTTTTGTTGCTGGTTGCACACACCTGCTACACCATCCTCTCCACGACTGCGGTGTCGGGCTTCTTCTTGTTTGTTTTTTTCATTTATGGTTATTCGCTCTGTGGCTGTGGCTGTTCTTGGTGTCGGCAATCCCCCACCTTCGCCGCTCGCTCCTGAAGGTGGTGGAGGGGCGAGGAGATGGGCGCTCAAGTTCAGTGTGTGTGTGTGTGTGTGACGCATTGCTCGGCAAGTGAAGCAGGAGAAGGAAAGAAAAGGAAATCGGTGTGCCGTAGCGGCGGTGATAATGGGGTAATGGGTCTACAAGTGCAAAAGAAATGAGGATAAGCAGAAATCCGAAGACGCGTGGATCATAATTATATTTCTGAATTATCTTGGTGTGTGTGTGTGTGTGTGTGTGTGTGTGTTTGTGTGTGTGTGTATGTGTTTGAACGCATCCACATTTCTTGTTCGCTACGGGAGAGAGAGGGGTAGAGTGTTGGTGGGGCGGTTTTGTTCTCTTCCTGTCTCTCCATCACCATCCGCCAACTCACACGCTATCACTTTGTTTTGTTTCTACACATGCAATGCTCAGAGTGACATGGGAATGAACTAATGGTGGCGCATGCTCTCTTCTTACATTCAGAGCTACCTCTGCATGTGTGCATATGTGCGGCGATCTGTATCGTAAGGGGGGGGTGCGAGTGGCTATCATGGTTCTTCCATACACGTCTCGCTCTCCTTCATAGGCACAAGGAGGCTTCTTTGCCATCGGCGTTAGGCGCAGGGGCTGGGATTGATGTGGGAGTGGCTAAAGGAAAACTAGCACCTCGCACAGGGGTGAGCGCGCCGCATCCCCAGCGGTGTACGAGCGGGATATCAACTTCTCCGCGGCGTCGGCCCTCGGATCCCTCACCTCACCCCCCGAAAGGGCGGATGTGGGCGCAGTAGAAGTATGTGGCGTGCATGTGTCTCCTACAGGCGCCGCTGGGGAAGGTTCGTCGGCTCGTGCTGTTCCGCTCGCTGCAGCCGTGACTACTGGCCGCCTACGCAGCGTTGGAGGTGCGGCAGAGCACCGTAAAGGAGTCGGCTGTCGAGGTGTGGTTACAAGGTGCGGGCGTCAGGGCACGACGCACACGAAAAGTTGGCCCGCAGCCCGAACGCCCCTGTTTAGACGACCCTGTGGCATGTTGTCGGGCTTCTGCCGCACGACCTCACCGACGACTGGGCCGCAGCAGTCAGGACGAACGCCTTCTAGCGGCTGGACTACTGCACGCAGGTGCTGTACACGGGCAGGGCGCGGTGTTATACCTCCACCACGGATGCGACCCCAATGTGCTGATCGCCCTGTGAGACGCTGCGGCGCACTCATGAGCCCTTCGCAGCAAGCATGCCGTGCAAATACTCTGCGCGCCCCTTCACGATGAGGCCGCGTTACGCAGAATGCCACGTGGTCGCCTCGCAACACACGCAGTTGTGCTGGGCAGCTGTGGGGTATCTGCCCCTGCCGTGGCTCACGACGCTGCACTCAGACACATACACACACACTAGGGGAGAGAGGGAGGGAGAGAGAGAGAGAGTTGCAGCGGCACGGCGCCCAGTATTAACGATTGTCTTTACTCCTCAATCCGAGGAAGAGAGAGACGAACAACAGCCATGTGTAATTCTACTGGTGCAAGGAGTGGTGCCTCTCAGAAAGTTCCCGAATAGGTTCCTATCATATTTATCGTTCGTCTTATTGTCTTTCTCTGTTGTTTCTTCTGCAGTGTGCAACACTCTGCTAGGAACGCGTTTAAAAAGGAAGTGCAAGTTATATAGCGTCGGCTGCGCGGAGATGGATGCCTTACCACAGGATGACTTTCTTTTGCGGCAGCGTGAGAAACTACTCGCGAATGCCGCGTGGATTCAGCGACAGCAGTTGCAGTTGCAGGCACAGCGGGGGATCCTGCCGAATGACGGCGATGACAGTAAAAATGATTTTGTTGCAGATACCGGGAAGAGTGTTGATCCCAACATAAATACACCGAGGCAACCACAGCAAGAGGAGCCGCCGCAGCAGCAACAAGAATACTGCGGTGAGGAAGGCGCCCAAAACACAGCGGGGACATCCTCCCCCGGCCCGCGGCAACCGTCGGTCGGGAGTGCATCGGTGCGCACACCAAGTCATCGTCAAGGCGTCGATGGAAAGAGCCCGGGGGCTCTGCGGAGTTGCGCGGGCTGTCCAGACTCCTTCGTGACGCTGCGGGGGGGATCCGCTCTGCGGGTGCAGCAGCGCAACACACTGTGGCAGCTTCGCCGCGAGCAGAAGCTGGAGGAGCAGCGCATGCTGAATGTGGAGGACTTCTCCGAGTACACTTTCAGCCCGGAACTCTGCCGACACCCGGGGAACGCGCCCGCCCCCGGCGCCGCAGCGGCCTCGCCAGGCGTTGAGAGGTTTGTGCAGCGGCATCGGCGCGCCCGGCAGCTCGCGTGCGAGAAGGAGGCGCGGGGCCGTGGCGACGGCTCCAAGTGGACGTACAGCCTTACCGTCGCAGAGCCCTTCCTGCTGGGGCAGCGGCAGGTGGTAGACGCGCTGCGCCCGCCGGTGCAGGGCGTACCGGGTACGGTTTGTGAGCTCATTGCGCCACAGGACCTGGAGCCGCCACGCACCGCAACAGGAACGCCAGTGATTATTAGTACTGCTGCACCTCGCGGCGCAGCGACAACCACAACATCATTCTCACCTCTAATTTCATCGTCTTTCTCGCTAGAAGCTGTTGCGGCGGAGGCAGGGGTGGTGCTGCCGCCACGCGGGGCCTTTAGCTCATGGTGTGCACTGCAGTTCTGCGGCAGCGAACAGAGCACTGATGTCAGGACCACACCTTGCTAACCACCTGTACATGCGGTCTGTGTCTTTATTTCCTCTCTCCTCTACCCTTCTCTTTTCCTCTCTTGCACCACTTTGTATCGAGTACCATGTGTGTGAGTGTGTCTATTAAGGTGCGTCATGGGGTTTGTTCTGTCTCTGTTGTGTTCAGTGCCGACAGACTGTAGCGAGAAGGCCGCCCTCGCCCTTCACAAGGGGGGGGGGCACCCATTGGCATGTTCCACGCTCTCGTTGCCTCGTTGGTTGTTGCTTCTGTTTTGCGTTTAAGCTGTTTTCTGTTGTTGTTCTTCTTTGCGACATGCGCATAGGCCTTTCGTGTGTAGCAAGGCCGCTGGAAAGCCGGCTCCTAGCACGTAGTATTTTCCAAAGGGAGGGGAGGGGCGGCAGCGGCCGTCTCTCACGCTCTCTCACTCTCTAGGCGTGTTTCTGCGCGCAGTACCACCACGCACGTGGCGTCGAGGCCCCCAGGAGAGGCGACAGTCACGCCGAATGGGAAGCGGCAACTCCAAAAAGAAACGGGGCTTGTCGGCGAGCACCACATCCGGAGGCCGCGACAACTCGTCGGGGGCCGTGTCTCCCGCGCAGTCATCTGATGCCCATAGCGGCGGCACAAATGAGGGCCCAGAGGTTATACTGAATGTATACAACCTACAGGGCGGGCCCCAATCACGCCCGCGCTCCATCAACGAGAGGATCGGTCTCGGCGTCTACCACAGCGGCATCGAGGTGTTTGGCAGCGAGTATGCCTTCAACGGCTACACGGATAGTCCACTGGGCGTGTGCGGCATATTCACGAGCCCGGCAAAACACGCGCTTCCAGTGCAGATGCTGAAGGAGAGCGTCGTGCTCGGCCGCCTGCCGCCTGGCACGGGGTGGGCAGAGATCAGCGCCATCATCAACAGAATGCGCCCAGCGTGGGACGCCCGCACGTACCACCTGCTGCAGCGCAACTGCAACCACTTCTCGCACGCCTTCCGCGACGCCCTCGCCGCGGCGTTCCCACAGGTAAAGCTGAAGCGCATCCCGCGTTACATTAACCGAGCCGCGCGCTTTGGAGATGTCATTATTCCCTCCGCGCTCTCCCGTCAGCTGATGGGTGGCGCTATGTCCCCGCAGGTACCGCCACAACAACGGGGCTCACAGAGGGCAGCGACAGCGGAATCCGGTCGCGGCGAGAATGGCCATGCGGGGTCAGGGGATGCGGCGTCTTTTCCGATCCCCTCCACGCGTGAGGCGATGGAGGCCATGACTGTGCGGGAGCTCAAGACGATGATGTGGGTGAACGGCATCTCGTGGGATGGCTGTATCGAAAAGGTAGACTTGATTCAGGCTGTGGAGGCGCACCGGCGGCTCCAGGGCGAGCAGCAGCAGCAGCAGAAACAGGAAGCTGCACAGAAGCAGGCGAAATCTAAGTCTTGTGTGCAGAAGTGAGGTTGTGTGATCACCCTGGGTGGTGTTCTGCCGTGCGCGGGTGACGAAGTGTGTCTCTTGCTTTCTGTATACCCGCCAGTTCGCTACCACTATTCTTCCCTAGTCGTTTCTGGCTCTCACGCACAATGAGTTGGTTCGCTCCGCGTTGGGCCACGCTGGAGCAAGCTCTTGTGTCTGCCGGCACCCACAGCAGCACCAACACCACACCAGATGTGTGCCGGCCTGCACTTTCACACCCGTTGCTCTCTCTTCCTGGTTGGCGGTCAGGGCGGCAGATAGAGCCTCCATGGCGAGTCGCCCATCACTCCGTCCAGGCCGGCAGCGCACACGGGCACGTGGAGAGCGGCCTCTGCGCCGGGCGCCGTCGCCGCTGCCGCCACGTTTCACCTCCTCTCACTGCTCAGCCACGCACCGACGTTGGTGGTGACTACATTCGCCTTCCCATGGCGCACCGTCGCATGCGCCGCCCTCGCTTCTGCTCCCCTTCCTGGGCCTCCACTTTCTCTGTCTCTTTGTCTTGCTTCTTGTGGGTCGTGATAGCTTGGGCACCAGCCCCCAGCGTTTCTTCCCCGGTGAGGAAAGCAGCAGCAACACCAGGGCCACCAAGCGCCTACCAGCACCAGCGTCGCACGTAGCGCAGCAAGAAGAAAAAGAGGAGTCCTTATTTGCTCGAGCGAATGGGAAACGTCAGCAGCAGCAGCAGCGGCTCCTCGGAAAGTTGTGGCAGGCCCAGCTACGATGATGATAACAGCACGTACCCGTCTCGGACTCTTCTCCTGCATGTGTACGTCTCGAAAGGCGGCACGAGGTGCTACCACGCCGGCATCGAGGTGTTCGGCACGGAGTGGGCCTTTGGCGCCAACGGTGAACTTCCGTCACATGTCTGCGGCATCTACCCTTCTCGACCGAAAACAGACACGGACAACTTCAGGTATGATGGCACCGTGGTGCTTGGCAAGCTGCCGGAGGGCACGCCAAAGTCGTCTATCTTCGCCATTCTGACGAAAATGCGGTCGTCGTGGCTTCTCGCTCATTACGATGTGTTGAGTCACAACTGCATTCACTTCGCACACGCCTTCTGTGATGCGATTGTGAGCGCGTTCCCGGGGATGACTCTGGGTTCGCTGCCGCGGTCCCTCATGGACCCAGTGGATGCGGGGCGGCTGGTCGCGGGGTCGGCGCCGTTGATACTGTCTGCATTCCACCCGGCCTTGGGGGCTGTGGCCGCATTCGCTACAGATGTGGTGCGCTCTGCACAGAACGACGCAGGCTCTTGTCAGAATTTCAGCGGCAGTCGTGGACACCGTACTTCTCTCGCGATCCCCACGCGCAAGCAGCTGGAGGCCATGTCGGTGTGGGGGGTCCAGAAAAGGATGTGGTGGTTCGGCGTGTGGTGGGACGATTGCGATGGAAAGGGCGACATGATTGAGAAGCTGATGGAACACCTGGTGCACCACTAACCGCTGCAGAAACTAGAGAGAGAGAGGAAAAGGGGACAGCAGCTGACAAAAAAAAAGCGGGGGAGTCCAAGGGTCGGGTAACGACAAATTGCGTATGGGCTCCCATGTTGTTTTGCGTGCGTGTCTGTAGACGCGTACATTTTTTTTGTGCTTCGAGTGAAGGAAAGAACAGCAAGCCAGACCACACTGTCGGCTTCCTTAATCTCGTGTTTCTCTTTTTTTTTTCCTTCCTTTGCTCCCGACGTCGCGAGTCCCTTGCTGACCGCCGAGACGCGGCTTCACTGAGCCGAGTCTTGCACTCAGCCCCTCGCCTGTGCCGGACCGCTGGCGCCGCCAGCCCCACCCATAATAGCTTAGCACATTGCCTCACGGCACGCACACATGCGCTCCTGTAGTCTTTCTTTTTTTTTTGAGGTTTTTGGGGGTTGCTGGAAGCTTGCAAAAGGAATTGTCAAGCCTTACCGACTTTGTTAATAGGGGAGCTTTTAATTCATCATCATTCTCGTCTTTATCTCTTGCTGAAGGCACGTGTCGAAAAGTGTGGGTTTTGAAACGCCCACCCAACCCAAAGCTCTCCGCCTCCGCGCGGGAGGTGGGCCAAGGGCGCTTTCAGCACGGTCTTTTCGTCAGTCAATCATAAGCCTTTAACTTCCCTATAAATGGGAGTATTTGGATGCTACTCGAATACCCCCAGCTATGCAAAGTGGGGGCATTGCTTTCGCGGTGGGAATTAGATATAAGGTTTCTCCTACTCTCTCTCTCTCTCTTTACTTAATACAGGAAGGTAAGGTATAGACTATTCTCCTTCACGGCGTACAACTGAGCATGCACGAACCTGTGAAGAGGGAGTGCATTTCAGAGCTGTTTCCCTTGATAATTACCCCTCATGAGAGTATTGTGTTCTTTTTTTGCTTTGCTTCGGATTGGCGACTTGTGGTCGTCTGGCGCGGGGTGGGGGATGCGTCACGGCTTTCACCGCCCCTCCGCTCTGCCGTGCCCCTCTGTGAGTTCGTGGCGGCCTGAGCGCCGCATGCCCGCTGCTGGCGTCTGTGCCCGGGCATAGACGGGGGGCTTGAGTCACCCGCTTCTCCTTCCCCGCCATCTCTTGCTTTGCACCCAAGGCCCATATTTTTACCGATAGGCACCCAGAGAGCGAGTGTGTTAGGGGCGCCAACGCCAGCGAGTAGGTCGGAAGGAGCGGAGCGGATATGTGGAGGGACGCCTCGGAGCCGCGCACGGCGGCCGAACGTCTGCGCGCCGCCCGGCGCCAGGAGACGGCCGCTCTCTACGAGCAGACATTCGAGCGTCGCCGGTGCCGCCTCTCCCGCG